GCTGGATGTTGGAGAGGAGGGAGAGCCTGTTTCCAGCCCACACATTCCCCTCCTAGGTGTATCCCTATCTGCTGTCAGCCAGGATCAATGTTTCCAAACATTAAAAATGGCTTATTTACAGAGATATAAGAAAAACTGAGGTGGGGAAATAGGTGTGTCTTGAGATAATCAATGAGCATGAAGAAAAATAAAAGCCCAGAGTAAGACTTCTAGCAGGTGCTTTACAGTTTAAAGCAGATAATGAGAATTACATTCTAGTTGGATGGCTTTAAAGCAAAAAAAGTCACTGAAAATGAACTGATAAATCTGATTTTTTTTTCATAGCTCTTCTTACTTTTGCCTGAAGAAAGTGAAATGACCAGCACTGCTCCTCTCCACCCACATTTCTAGAGAAAGGGGATATGTTTCCCAACATCTAATTAAGATATTATGGCAGGAACTCAATCAGCAGAGTGAGGATGGAGAGAAAGAACATGTCTGAGAGGAGAGGCTCAAGTCTTTCCATCAGTTATTCAGGTTCCAGTTCCTCAGTGCTCTGTGATCATTTTCTGAGACAGCAGCTCAGTCTCCAGTGTGCTAACTGTAAAAGTTAGGAAGTCACCCTTATTTTGCAGACCATTAAATTCTGAACTCCAATGCTGCACAAAGCCATATTTCCCATTTTACTTGCTACAGGTCTGCAGACTGGCTTTACAGAAGTTGCTGAAGCAAACCTTGATTAATGAGACAAGGCAGTAGTCAATGAAAGCAACAAATGGGTGATCTCAGGAGGACTGACTCTTGAGAACCAATTAATGTGTGGACATGCCATCTGGGCTGGCAGCACGCAGGGCAGTTCACTACCTGCTGCCACTGCTGGCACCACACCAAGAAGAATCAGAGCATCTGTCAGTCCCCAGGATCTGAAACAGAAAACTGCAGCACAGAGAGCTTCAAAACAAGCCTTGAACATCAAAACTCTCTGGCAAATCCCTAGAAGAAAAAAGCTAGAGATAGTGTGCAAGTAACTGTATTAAAAATAAAATATTGAATTGTTTCCTATGCAAAAGAAAGTTTCACATACATGGACTTTTCTCTGTTCCTCTTTGGCTGCAGATGCAACTCTTTTCTCAAAATTTATTTTGATTACCTTAATTGACATCAAAACCATATTTTCCCTGTAATTGTCTTAAAGTAAAACTTCAGATTTTCAGCTACAGGGTTCACTTTTCTCTCCCAGTTGATTTTAATAAAATCAAGATTCTTTCCAAAGATGTTCTGAATCAGTTCGGAAAAATTATAGTGAGCAAACCATATCTCACTTAACTGCATATCACTGGCCTTCAAGGACTTCTCTGTTGAAAAAGCAAAATTTCTGTAGCATTGCTGGTTATTTAACCAAAATGCAGGGAGGAATATCACTATTCTGCCTCTTTTCCTGCTGAAAGGAACACAGTCTAGATATGAACTACTGCCAGGAGTTGACACCATCAGTCTTAAAAGGGGAAAATTGATTTTGCAATCTCACAGTGAATCACACAGAAGCAGCAAGCTAGCCAGGGCTACCTTGTGGTCTTGTGGCCAGTAGAAACTATTATTGCTTTCAGTGGATAGGTTTTTATGGGATGGGAAGTGAAATATCAGGAATCAGTGTCAAAAATTAAGATTTTAGTGCTTAATCACCATAATCTTCATTTCAGAAGAAGTATTTTGACTTTCACTTGAAGACAGATGTATTGCAAAAAAGCAAACAATTCAGAACTCTGTGAATATAATAGAAAATAAATTAAGCAAATTACTGTGTTTCTCTTCTTTCTCCCATGCTTTATCCCTTTGACATTACTTTCTAAAATATCAGACTTAACCTCAGCATATAATTATAAACTCCGACTAAAATCGACTGGGCACTGCAAGTTGTGCCTACATCTGAGATGAGTGAACTGAGTGTTATGAGAGGTCTTTTTGCTGGTCCTACATGAGACTTTCTCAGGGCCTAATCCAAATTATCAGATCCTTCTAAATTATTAGAAAATATTCTGTAAGCTACAATAGGCATTTGACTGGGTTATCAATGAAGAAGAATGGCTATATGTTTGGATTAAAGACATAATCACTCTCTGCAATATTTACTTTAGATAATGAATCACAGAAAACACAGCTTTCAGCTGAGGTGTTTATGTCTGTATTATGCATCAGCAGGCTTGATCATAGTGGAACTTTAATGAGACATTTGTGAAGAGAAGTTGAAGTTGTCTAATTACAGACTTTTCTAGGAGCATCTTTTGTTCCCAGTGGGATCTGACCTATTTTCAGAGTAGGCTGGCTGGAAACAAAGGATTAGTTTACCTGTCTCCACTACTGAAAGCTAACATGACTGAAGGCAGTGCCACTTTGTACTTGCCAGGAAAATTCTCTCCTATTAGATGCTAAGCTCAGCTTAATGCTTTAATTGTTGGACACCTAGAATGTGTCTGATTGAAGGTGAACAATAAGAAGAGATGCACCTGATGGAAATTTGTGTGCACACTGAAATTTAGAAAAAGTTTGAAAAATTCTGTTATTTTCAAGCAAGAAAACTTTCAAGTTGTGTCTGTGTAGATTCTGCCATTCCATGTCTTCACAAATAAAGACATCATAGGGTGATGACACCATGGTGATGGAACGATCTTTCTTATACACAAACTTTTGACTAACTTACAAGACACTAATTTTGCTGAGACTACTATCACTAGTCTGGAACCCACATGGAAAGTTTCTGAGAAGAGAGCTGAGTATGTTGTCAGGTGGCCGAACTCTGAGTTGTATGTGGAAGACATGAGATGTCCTAAAATAGCATTCAAAATGTTCATAAATGCAGGATGGGTTTAGAAGATGGAATGGTAGACCAAGAGATGGATACAAGTCAAATTTCAACAAATGTTGAGTGCCTGCTCTACAATGGCAGGCACTCCCATTAAAACGTTGGCAAGCCTAGGAAACTCTTTTGTGAAGACGTAGAAGTGAGATCTTGCTTGGTTTGCTTTTGTGTCCAGGCTTTTATATCCATTTTACCATTGCTGCTGGAGTTTTGGAAAAAAATTTCAAACCTGTTGTAAAGTTCATTAATTACCAATCTGAGGACAGAGATTTTACAGATGACTGAGACCAATCTTCTTGAGACCCTATGAACAGCTGTCCTAAGTGAGCCCCTCTGAGCTCCCCTGGACCACAGGCTGCACCAGCACCTCCCTCAGTGTGGGACACCTCTTGGAGCTCACAAACCCTTCAACATATGTGAAAGCCCATTGCTGATGATTTAGGATGATACCCCACAGGACATTCCTCAAGGTGCAAGCCATGCCTTATGAGAAACACAAAGGGATTTTATGTATTTCACCAAACTGAGTTTTTGGTAGCTGCCTTTGTGCACAAATCAAGATCTATACATCTCTGAGTCTTGCACCCTTATCTTTATGAATCAGTATCCTTTGGACTCTTACCCTTCCCCATCCTGGTGTCAATGTAAATAATCACCAATTTATTCCAATCTAATTTTTCTATCCATGATTCATCTATATAGAGTAACAGACTGAACCTTTTCAACAAGGTTTGTTGAAGTTGTATTTTCATAAATTCCTATTAAAACCTATTTTTTTGTCAATCACCTTGATGGTGATCCTTTAAGTGGACAAAAACACTCATTTATAACACAGGTCAAGAGAACCTTTTTTTTTAGGTCAGTAACATTTATGTCCAGTGTTGCCACTGTGAAGTAGAAGAGAGTCAGTTAAATCACTTAAAACTTGATTATGATCGGTTAACTATCTACTAATTCTCATGACTCTCATCCAAAGCTGTGTAGAATGGTATGATGGTGAAAAGATGCAAATCCTGGCAATGATACAGATTGCACAACCATGATAATAAACCTGTAAATACCAATAGCAATCAGGAAAAAAAAAAAAAAAAAAAAAAAAAAACAAAAAGATAAATGATAATGAAATCAGAAAGCTGAGAGTCCACTACAGTGCTTCAATCAGTCTGCAAAACAATATTGCATTAGAAAATCAGTACATTATTTCTGATCCATTGAGTGAAAGCTGATATCTGCATAATTATTAAATTGACAGACATGTTTTCATAAACAGCAGCATACTTTTATGAAAGGCCCCTAGCTGATGTGCAAAAAACAGTAATACCCCGTTTTGAAGCCAGAAGCTGTTTAGGTAAGAAAGGAAATTCCCTATGTATTGGCTTTTAAAATTCCTGAGGAGACCCAGGAATATCCATCTCTTCTTGACAAGTGATAGTATAGAGAAAAATTATCACTAAGCACATTTTGGTTACCACAGAAGTCAGAAAACACTCACTGCTAGACTTCATAGAGAACCAAATCCTAAAAGCAAAAGTTTTAATGTGAAAATTCTCTATCCCCAGCAGGACTCTGTACCATGAATATCAGCAGTTGTAATGTCCCAATTAGTTATTTTCAGATCATATAGAAGTACCAAGTGATCTCAGAGATAGCCAGGAACAACATATGCACTGATTTAATATGAAATATTTTAATTGTTCTGAGAAAAGGAGTAGGATGCCAATGTCATAGCCTTTTTAAATATAGCCTTTACATTGAACAGGAGAACATTCATGCTTAGATAAAGTAAGAGCTGCGTGGCAGATTACCTAATTGGGAAAAGCAGTTGGGCTCATATCTCCCTCTGCACTGCCACATCCTGTACATTCACACCCAGCTCTCCCTGTAGCCAGCACCTCCTCCAACATTCATTAGGTCCTGTAACGTGGTCGTCACTTGTCTGCTCACTTAGTCAGTCCCAGCAGGGGAAATATTTGCAGTAGGGTGTCTTCTGTAACAATCCAGCTAGTATTTAGAGTCTGCAGACCACTTTTTTCCTCTGCTGCAGAAGTTCAGTTGTGCGTGGGTGGAATTCATCTTACCCAAATATAGTCCACAGAAAGAAATAAGCACTGCTGGGCAAGATTTTCCTGCTCTATTTTAGGCACTGACCTCAGGATGAGATTTCTGTCACCAAGCACCTATTTCTCTTCTCTGACAGTACAGTGAGCCTGTGATGACTCACTCAGATGTAGGAGTCTACAGCTGGTCTGATGAATGCTGCCTGGAGTCTCTTGAAGGTAAGGGCAAGACCTTGGACTGGAGGTAAACCCTTATGAAAAGCAAATGTAAAAATCAGGTGTGAGTAGCAGGCCAGACTGCTGGGGAGATAAACTACATCAGGACTGAGGCATGCACTTAACTGCTGGTGGTGGATTTCAAAAACAGCCCTGGTACAAATGTTCTGGGATTCAGAAATACCTGAGCTTGTACCTGCTACATTAAATCTTGTTCAGGTGTGCTTTTGTCTGAGTTATAATTTCACATTGCTAAGTCAAAAGTTTGATGTTTCAGTGACTAATAAAGACTTGCTTTAATTTGATAGCTATTAATAAAGACAAAATTCATTAATTTAAAAGGCAATAGCTACTTCTAAATAATAGTTTACATAGATGAGAGATAGGTGGAAGAGCACGTTGTTGAACATCACCAACACAGGAGGTGGACACTTCACCTGCCTGGTAAATTTATCTGATTGAGATTGAGATGCTTCTCCCAGCATCTCATTTGTGATAACCTATATCAATGTCTCTAGAAAAACCTTTTTCTATATGTACATTGGAAAACAAATAATTACACATTTTAGTTTATTTATCAAAATATTATATTAAAACGTTAATGCACTTATTTCAATATAATTATTTGGGTTTGGGTTTTCTTGGGTTTCTGTTTGTTTGTTTTTGTTTTGTTTGAAATTTAAAAATCTTTTAACATCCATTCTATAAAACAACAAAAATGCCTGTCTTTCATGACTGTCAACTTTTCCAAAATATTTTTGTGTTGACTGTGGCATTCTCAGCACTCATCAAGGATGTCACCAGTGCCAGCAACCAGAGCTGACTGAAGACAAGCCATTCAAATGAGAAGTTTCTGACACAGGTAAATAAAAAGTATCACAGCAACCCAACAACAGATTAGAAACTCCAGAAGACTGTTGGCTAGGAAAAGGCTTTAGGATCAATATCCAAATCCAAACAGTAATGAAAAGCCTAGTATTACTGAGAGGAAAAAAATTCTTGAGTTGTCCATTCTTTCAGAATAAGGGTGAGTGTATACCTGGAATGGTAACATACAGAATCTACAGTACATCGACATGGAATAAAAAGCAATTCACACAAATTCAGAATCATATTCTATCATTAAAATCTCACTTCTGAAAACATGTAAGAGTTTCTCTAGAAGAAAGTTGGAAATCTTTGTGCAGATACTGTGTACCTTGGCCTTATTCCAAGGCAAAAAACTCTTGTTTTGGAAAGCAGAAGCTGCAATCACCAAACTAGATTCTTCTTCCTCCAAAACTTCATTGCCATCTCTATGAAACTTGAGGTATGGCACAGCAGAAGGTAGAAAGATGATGTCTGAAATCAAACACTGTAAAGTATTAAAAGTTGAATAGTCAGCTGAATAGCTCAAAATTTTGCATCATTGCACACCCACACATGAGCACCAACGGATGTTCCAGTACTATTAGATGAAAAAGCTGATCTATTTATTTTTATTTTGATCACGTCACTTCTCCAACTGTACAACAAGAGCAGCTCTCTAAAATCAGTGAGCATTGCGCTTGCTTTGTAGCAGAAGAATTTGGCCTCATTTTTAAAGAGCTTTCTAAGAGCTTCTTCAACTGCAGAAATTGGCCCACTTTCCTCATATTCTAAATATCTGACAGAGCCTTTTTTTTTTTGCCATAGCCACAATACAGTTTGTAAGACGTTTTTGCAAAGATTCAACTTTATTTCCCTAATTATAGGTTTGATGGGAGATTGGCACTCTAACATAGCTCCTGAAGCCTTAAGATTGTTACAGTTACTTATTCCAAACTGGATTATATTCTCAGAAATTTTGGGGATAACCTACAATCAATTGATTTGATTTGCAGAGTTTTGAATAAAGCATTGGATTCATATTCATGCAGAGTTACATTGAGTGCTCATTGCATGAGCCTGACCATGACAGTGCATTCAGGTACTTTCACCCAGCTGTGGATGTCTGTAACAGGTTTTTTTCAACACTAATGAATATTGGGTTCTAATGCTTTAAGACTTGTTTCATGCTACTTTTTCCAATGCTTTTATCACATTAAAAATTGGAGTAAATGAAGCCTTGTAGTAAAAAAATTATCTCTTTTGACAACTAGGAAGCAGTGAGTGAGTAGAAAAAAAAACAGTCCTGCAGTAAGGAACAAATTCATGAAGCTTTTACTTTTTTAAATCTATGCAAAGTTTCGTTCATTTATTTCACATGCAAAGTGTCATCACTTTAGAGCCACCCAGTCACTCTCCAGTCTCTGTGTGTGTTTTCCAAAATGAAGTGTTCCCTATTGGTCTTTGACATACATGACTATTTGATAATGGCATTTTCTGTGAATTTTGCTCCCTTTATTCCATGTTTTACGGGCAGTTAGAATGCTCATGCTTGCATTCTGTTTAGGGGAAAAAAAAGGACAAAAGAAGATATGAAAAAGGAGAAGGGATGAGAGAGAAGGATAAAGGAAGAAAAAAGTAAGAAGGACAAATAAGAAAGAAGAGGTGAAAAAAAGTATTTTCATGAAGAATTATTAAGATTTTAATGTAGCTGCATTTTCATCTCTTACAAGAAAAAAATACAATTCTATACATGACTTGTATAGAATAGCACTCCGAGGATAGCACTCCAAGGCATGCAGTCGAATATTGATGTCACAATATTTTCCTCTAGAAAATTGAATTGAATGAATTCGGCACAATGCAATATTGCAACATTCACTTTTAGTCATCTTTCGTATTTTTGCTTAGCTGAAAAGAGAAAATTGTTCTGTGAAGCTGAATCCAAATACAAAACAAATGTATTTATTGCACTTGCTGTATAGATGTACAGGTAAATTACTTTGAATGCCCATGTAACAGAAAGCAATCTGTTTAAATGGAAAAGCTTTTGTGTTTATTCTGTGAGACATGAAAATGTATCACTGAACACATGATTATGCTGAAGTAAGAGGTATTTGAAGCACACAAACATGCCACATCTCCTGAATGGGCAGGGTTCTTTGATGCATTTGCAAACACTCAATTTCAGAGGTGTGCCAAGTCCTAATTCATGGTTTTTTTTAATAATACTGCCCAAGAAGCAGCACTTTTAAAGAGGCTTTTAGCCACAAGTGAAGCCTCATTGACAAAAAACAGAAAGCAACTCTGTGTTTTTATCAAGAGCTATTTTGAAATTCCCCAGCTTTCATAAAGTGAAATTTCTGTAATCATGATCTGACCCCACTGACTCCAGGAGCTCACAGTGGGCAGTAGAGCAGAGCAGGGAACTCAGCCCTGCTCTCAGCCATCTACAGCTTCAGCAGCCACAGCCCTGTCACCAAAAACTCACACCAGGGAAATTGCCTTGTGGAGAAATAGTATTATTTAGTCCACTATAGTACAATTCTAACACAGCTCTATTGCTTTCAGGACTCAAAATCCTATCTCTGCATGAGAGTTTACTTTAAACTCACTTGCACTTCACAGTGATTAGTCTAGACACGTTCTCTGGGTTTTAGAAATCACAACCGAGAAAATTATCAACATTTACACAAACACTTAGACACATAAATGCACTTTAAAATCCAGCTCTGAGACTTTTGCCAGTGGCTCATGTCAGCTGGTCCAGCTCCATAGCAGCAGAAGTGTTAGCTCACTGCTCTGGGTGTGTGTATCAGCTCCCGGCAGGCCAGAGTGGTGCCATTCCCAGGAGACACCCACAGCAGTGCAGACTGTGTGCCAGCCTCCTTTCCCAGGCAGAAATCAATGCCAGTGATAATACATTCCATTAATAAAGATAATGCCCAGAGACTTCATTCAAAATCAAATAATTAGAAATTATATTGATTTCTTTCTGGAAGGGAATAAACCTGAGAAAGAGCTTGCAAACCCTACACGGTAACACTCTTTTCTAACATATTCAAGAGGTTAATACAAATAAGAATTGCTATTACAGTGTCTGTGTCAGAAGGCGATAGATCTGGAAATAACTATTTTCTGATGAAAGGGAGAAACAAGGATTAGTAATTCTGGGAAAATGACCTCTATGTTGTAGATTTAAACAGATTAAAAGCTAGCAGTGGAGCAAAACCAAATATAGATAAATATTGAAAGCCATTTCTAGTTTTAAAGCTACCCCAGTTAAAAATTATTGGAGTTTTATGGCTAGATTTTTTTGAGAGGCATATGTTCTTAACACATTTTTGGGGACTGCATTTAGTAGCAATGTAGAAAGGGAAAAATTAGCAAGAAGAAGCAGTAAGGTTCCTAATAAAGTGTATAAGGAAAGTGGCAGCTCTCTTTGCATTGAAGAGAATGTGAATTGTTCTATAATTTTTCCTTCAAGAAACAAATATAGAGTGAAATAGGAATGACAACTATTAAAAATAGTTTAGCAACACTTCTAAACACTTTAAATCTCTGAATGTCAGGAAAAGATTATTTTTCAAATTCAAGTTAGTCAGGAGCAAAGTGAGTCTGGAAGAATGTGAGATAGTTACTGGATTATGTAGATGTATAATGGGTTAACCTTGGCTGGATTCCAGGCACACCAAAGTCCCTCTATCCCTCCCCTCTGCAGAGTCCTGTGAGGGAGCAAAAATAATAATGAAAGGTTCATGGTTTGAGATAAGGACTGGGAGAGATCACTCACCAAATACCATCACAGGCAGAGCAGACTTGAATTAGTGATATTAATTGAATTTATTACTAACAAAATCAGAGCTTGATAATGAGAAAAAAACCTTTTAAAAACTTCCTCTCAGCCTTCACTCATTCCCAGCTCTACCTCCTCCTCCCAGAAGTACACAGAGATAGGGAATGGGGGTTATGGTCAGCTCATCACACCTTGTTCCTGCTGCTGCTCAGGGAGAGGAGCTGTGCCTCTGCTCCACCCTGGGGTACCTCCCATGGGAGAGAGTCCTCCATGGACATCTCCAACATGAATCCACCACCCAGGCATCAATCCTCCGCAGACTGCTGCAGTGTGGATCACTCTTCCCTCTTGGACCCAATGTGGGTCACTCTTCCCTCTTGGACCCAATGTGGGTCACTCTTCCCTCTTGGACCCAATGTGGGTCACTCTTCTGTGTTGGCTCTGCTGGTCATGGGGGAAGCTTCTGGCAGCTTCTCACAAAAGCCACCCCTGTATCTCCCCTGCTACCAAAACCTGGCCATAAAAACCCAAAACAAACCCAGAAGTGACCTGATTTCCTTCTTTGACAAATAAGCAGACAGAAACGGGGAAATATTCAATAAACACAGTATTCAAAAGAAGACTTAAGGACCAGGTTCATCACTCTGTGAGACTGGGAAGCTACTGCACAGCTTTCTGGTATTCTGTCTTGTTTAGTCTTCCCTGTAATCAAGCGACTACAACTATTAAACTTTTATATCAAGTGACTACAATATTAAACTTAGTAATAAAAAGGAGAGTGCTTAAGCTTGAATAAGATAGCAAGAAAACCACAAAAAACAAAAATCAACCAAAAAACCAGAAAATACTTAGGTAAGTTCAAATTGTCCCTATGATCTGGGATTGCAATAGATGAACTCAAGATTTATTTGCTGCCTAAATTATACTACATTTCTCTAAATAGCATTTCCTGGCTCAGACTGACCCAGTGGAACTCACTCTGACATACATCAAGAACTGAGTGGTGCAATCTCAAGCAGTTCACAAGTATTGCTTTTGAGAATTATGGGGGACAGGTGAAAACAGAAACCTTGGAAAGAGGATGTTGCATATCCATTTTTTTAAAAGTGGGTGGAGTAGGAAGGCAGAAATGCCAGAACATTAACCTTGTCAGGCTAGCTCTAACACTCAAAATACTGCAACAAAAAAACTATTTTACAAGCCCCTAAAAAGCCAGCAACAACAGCATGAATATCTCAAGGCCAACTGACGTCAAACAATGCATTTATTCTAAAATATACAAAACACTTAAAAGAAATATATGTGTTATGCTGTATTTTTCCCTTAAAGACCATGAAAACCTGCTAATTTGACTTTTTGTTTAAATCAGCTTGGAGAATGTCCTGCAGATGAGGGGTCCCAGGGTCAGTTTCCTTAGCTTGTACTGCCATTGATAGAAAAACGTCCCTGACTGCTCTCCTGAGTAGCATGTGGGTAAATAGGAGACATTTTGCTGTATAACAGTAAGGGATTTAAAGTAGCTTGAATAGTCTCCTAGAGGATTTTTTTCTTAAATGACTGCTCTACCTGAAATTGTTAGGAGCTATATACAATTGCCTGAAAACCTGATGCCAAGAGCTATCAGTGTTCACTGTCAAACTAGAAGGATGTCCTGTGGCTTCCTGCAAAAATCTGTCCCATTTCTGGCACTTCTCAGCATTTCCATTTATGACTCATACAAGAGCTGGGAGTGCTCCTTGTGAAATTTGTATACAATCTGAAGTTTAATGTGAGTCTCAAGCTCTACAGGTGTAGAATTAAAATTCATCAGATGTAGTCTGAAATAAATAGGACACACTTCAGCAAGGACAGGTGAACAGGTAGGAATAGTCAGCTGCACAAATAGAGGATGGAATACCACTGGATGAAATCAAGTTTTGGAGGAAAGGTTCAGATCTGCAAATTGAAGGGTTTTCAGTGTCACACACCTGCACTGTTTCTACCTACCTCCTCCTGACATTTAGAAGCAGGTGGGTTTTATGCAAGATGTGTAGGAATCCTCACCTTCCCTCCAGTTTTGGCATGGTCTCAGCAGTAATCCTGCCTCTCATCCAGAATATGATAATTAGAGAAAGATGGGAGCACAGGAATACAAATCAGAGAGTGACAAGGATAATCAGAGCCCAAGGAAAAACGGCTTCTCAGGGGCAGTTGAAAGAAATGCAGCTGTTTAGGCTAGAGAACACTGAGAGAAAACAATGATCGTGGGATGCATAAAAGGTTCTTGCAATTACTTTGAGAGCATTTCCCAGTGAGGGACACATCTTCCAGGACTCTGTAACACACTGTTTCTGGTAAGCAAAGCAAGTATTCACCTAATACAGGCCTAATTTTGGGTACTGAGTGGATCCATCCTCCTCATCCTAAATGCCTGGGCAGCATTTCTCATTATGGGTCACATTGAGAGGTGATGTACAATCAGTTATAAAATACAAGTGTACATGCTCAATTACAGGCAAGTAACCGAACAGGCTGGTGAAAAGCAAATTTTTCCACTGGAATGCTGTATATGGAAAACATCTTTGCCTCAAAACATGACTCACATATTGTAAGTAAAGAGGACACACAGTCTGCAAACTCTTAAAGGTTGGTGATGCAGCAGTGTAGTCAACTGGTGGCAGAAGTTGTCTTTGTAGGCCTCCAATCCATTCCAGCTATGTACTTATCAAACCATATCAAATGAAAACTGAGAAGGGGAAAAGAAGGAGAACAAATTACATGGAAAAAATTTCAACTACCAGGTGAAGTGGCTTAGACTGTGACCCACCAGCCTTTTCATGGCAGAGAAGCTCCAGGGCAAATGTTATCCCTCAACACCTCTGTCTGTCCAGCTGCACAGCCCTCTCCCCTCCATTAACTTTAAGAGGCTTTTAAACACCTCATTCAGGCAGAGACACCAACTTGTCAGTGATTTATTTAGCTGGGGTTCTGAATGCTACCCTGAGTGCTTGCAGTCATTTTCATGGTCCACCCACACCTCTTCTTGATATTTTCTTGATCTTACCTTCTCAGTGTTTTCTCTTGATCCATTTGCTTCTCTGCCCCTTTCATGAGTACAAGATTTCATATGAACAGCCAAAAACCACCACCAGGTACTCCTTGCTGGTGCTTTGTGAGATGCTGGAGAAGGGACCCTTGATATCCTCCAGAAAGGAGCTGAATTATTTAAAATATACTTAGATAAATGAACACAGACATCCTTTGCTGAAGAACTGGTGAATGTGTCTATTTTAAGAGCATGTTTTCTGTTGTTGGGGATGAAGGTGGTGAGGATGAAGGTGAGCCTGCCTGACAGCTGCATCTCTGTCTCTCCACGTCTGCAGAGAGGGAACATCTTGCGACAATTGCACGGTAAAGAGCATCATGTCTCCATCCTGAGCTGTCTGCACTCTGCTAAGATGTCTCCTGCCTTCACATTCAATTCATTTTGTGTAATTGAGCAGCTTTTGTTTGTGCTTCCTCTTGCCCAGCTATCAGACAGAATAGCTTTGCCTTCCATCTTTTGTAAAGACAGCACTTGTGGTTTTGTAGATGATGTAGGCTTCTGGGGGGAAGATTAAAATTTTCCAGCAAAACAAAGAAGAACCTCTGACTGAAACATTTAAATTCCAAGTGTTGAGAGAGGGAACAAAGTGTAAGCAGAAAAGAAAGTGCATTTGCATTCTGGGTGCATTTTTCTGCAAACACTCCTCATAACCCTGGGCTTGAATGGCAGCTGAGTAGCAGTGCTGCTTGCAGCACTGTTTATTACCAGAGGCAAACACTTTCGCCATAGCTCTTCTTTTAAGTTTTGCAAAAAACATTGCCAGTCACTGTGAAGACATTGACAGAAACATCAGAGAAGGTGTAGAATGTAAATATTTGTGTTCTGGCTGTAAAACCAGCAAACTAAAAAGGCCTAATTTCTCTGAAGTTCTTCAGGAGTGAACCTCAGAGCTGTGGACCCACTGCGTGAGCTGGTCCCCAAAATGTCTGTGTAGGCAGCCTCTTTCTTCAGCTGAACAGTACTGATCATAATGAAAGCTAATTATATTGCAGTTAATAAGGGGTATACTATCACAAAACTGTACACACATACAAAGATCAGAACTTTCCCCCGTTTGTTACATCACTTCCTAAAAAATCCAGCTGCAGAAAGGTTCTTGTCTGGCAATCTTCCAGATGGGAGTTTGTCCACACAAAGGCCTTCTACAGGAAAACACAAACAGAAATACTCTTGACAGATGACCTAAAAGAATCTGGCATCTATGCTGTGACCCAGCAAATCCATGCAAAAGCACCTGTCAGACTATTTGAGGGGAAAGGATTAGCATCTCTGATAAATACATGGTAGGAGGGCAGTTTCCTCATAGGCTGGTTAGCAATTTTTAATAGGACCTATTCCCCTCTACATGAAGGTTGGGCTTGATGATCTTGGAAGTCTTTTTGGACCTTAATGAGTCTATGGTTCTGTGAATATGCATTAAATAATTTGCATTTTTAGCAGGAACACACTGGTTTGCTTCAGTCTTGCAAGGTAAATGCCTCTGCCCTTCCACCACCTTGCCTTGCCTGTGAAGAGTTTAAAAGATGAATTTCACAGGACTGACAGGCTCCCCACTAGGCAGCCAGATGTATAACAATCCTGGAAATCTGATCTTGGCTTGTATTTGCAGAAATTCACCTTCCATAAGTTTTCCTTGCAAGAATTTTGGGCTCAGGATCACTGGGGCACCCTCTTCATACTGCAGTCAAGTTCAGGGGTTACACCTGATATTTTAATCCAGAACCACATATCTTCCAAAAAAGAATATTCCAGTGCAGACAAAAACAGTCTTCATGGCAAGAGGAGTCACATTGTAGATCCTATGGGTTCAGACCTGTCCAACTTCTCAGGGCTGCTACCTATCAGTGGGTAGCTAAGAACAACAAGTGCATACAAGAGCTGTTTGCTTCAGGACGCGGTAGAATCTCCACCATAGAAGATTTTTTAAGGATAGGGTAGATTTGTCAGAAATATTAGGAATATTAGAAATATTAGGAAGAATATTATGAAGAATATTAGGAAGAGCTTGCTGCAAGACATAGCTGAGAGTACCTGACCTCTGCAATCTCTTCTGAGCCATGCTGACTTTTTTCCAGGTCACTGGCCAGAGCACTGTCTCATTACATTTCAGATTTTGGGATGCTGGTTACATCCTCTGCATTTGAAGCTCTTGAGGTCCAGGCAGATTTTAAGCACATTCTTTCCAAAGCAAACTCGCAGAAAAGGGTGGAGAGATTAAATGAGCAGTTTGCAGAGGAAAAGCTTTGTGCAACTCTTCAGGAAATCCTTGCATTAGCAGTGGAATAAACCTCTTCTGCTTGCCAGGTACTGACAAATGGGGAAAGTACAAACAATTTAAATAGAAAGGTAGAGATGAGAAGGGAGAGGCCACAGGGTCAGCTGCCTCAAAAATGCATTAACATGTGTCCTGCCACTTAAAGCAGGTCTGAAGAGGCTGAAGTACTCAGGTCTTTCACCCTAAATATTTGTGTCTGAGAAGCAGCTCAATGTAAGAGATCTCATTTAAATGGTGCAAAACTGAAAAATGCATGCCTCCTGAAGATGCAGCCTGCAGTGCACTCACAGAGCTGACAAATGAGGAAAATGCCAAAGATGCTGTCTAGAAGGCCAATATGGCCCCCCAAGAACAGCTCCCAGCGTCACTCCAGCCCTTTCTGGGATTCCTCAGAAGGCAATTGAGAGTAGGACATTTGCTGGATAAAGCAATTTAGCCACCCCCTGTCTGCCACCTTTCCTATCTGCCACCTCTTCCTCATACTAACAAGAGGTGGGCAGAAGAAACCTCATTCCAAGCCAGGTGGGCATGGATTTATGTGATGGGATGTTTATGTGATAGTGAAATCACATAAGTTTGGTCAGACAAGAGGCCCAGTGAACTCAGTGGAGAAGCAGGAACCTCTTCAGTAAAGGCCTAAAATATTTAGTTGAAATCGAAATACTTTATTGTAATAGACTTCCTCATTTGGTATTAGAACTAGTTGTTTCTTTACTGTTATATACAGAAAGCCATACTTCCTCCCTCAGCTAATTTTTGTTAGCGCACTAATTTTTCACCCTCAGGGCCCAGTTCTGATTACCTGCAGGCTGATGGTACACACATTTGTGTAACAACACTGGCTCTAACAGCAATAGCTCTCTATTCATGGTGGTGTAAGCAAGATAGGAATCTGGCTCTCAAAGCTCTATTTAAACTTGACCTGGATGATTCATGCCTTTGAGATCTCAAAATGAGATTACTGCAAAGTGCTTTATAGTGGGCTGCCAAAAGGGCTAATCCATTCCCTGAAGCTAATGCACAGTACAGCACCTTGATTGTTATCAGAGGTGGGCAGAGAGGGATCTGCCTACTCACTACTTGTCTGTCAGCATTTTCTGCTTTTTAGTGCCTAGAAAAGGTCTACAGTTTTGCTTTTAGCTTTTAAAGCTATTAACAGGCTGGAAATTGATGTTGCCAAGGACATCTGTAAATGTGCCTTGGGGATGTATAAATACTTTATAGTATTGAATTGTTCCCCTTTTCGTTAGCCACAGGAATCCTATCAGACTGATGAAGGTAATTTCCAGTGATGCCTCTGAAACCAAACATGAAAACAAGATGGTGACTCTGCCATGCCTTTCCTCTGGACTCCCCACCGTGAGATCAGATGCCCTCCATGAGCCTTTCACTATCAGATTTAAATTAATTTGAATTTGGAGGTTCCCTTGTGAACTTTCTTCTTTTACTACAAACATTGAAACCATTTATATCATAGCAAAATTCTCCTCACATGTAATTTTTTTTCTGATTCATGAGGATCAAAACAGAAGCTCACACAAATGTGCTTTGTACCTACAGGCTTTGTAGTGTGCTCCACAGGAGCAGCAAGTGCAGCAGAGATGTATTTCTGCCTGTCATACAATTTGCTCAGAAATCCTTTCCTGTGATGTGCAGCATTCAGCCTTTGCATGCCTTTGCAGTGGCACAAGGCTTGATGTAGCTGTAAAAGTACTGGGAAACAGAGGAAGAAAAGATAAGTGTGTGCTTCAGTACAGAAGACCAAAAAACTGTGCTGAAGGTAGGTAGAGATTTGTAGGCTATTGTAGTGTCCTGAATTTCCTGCCCTGCCTTGCACACATGATGACTCTCTGGGAAGCTCAAATTAGTATGCATTTTATCAGCCCCTATTCTTTAATAATGTATCTTTTAATAGGGACAGCTGGATCCAAGGCAATCCCTTCAATCAACACTGACAGCTGTAGCTGTGATATTTACTCCTCTGATTCTTTCCTGCACTCACTGACCTCATGCCTGTGGGATTACACACCTAGTTTTAGGCTTCCAAATTTGAAATGTTTGACAGCAGGAGATTGGTGAGACTTGCTACCATTAGAAGGATTTAGGAACTGTCACAGGTGACAACTCTTGGACATGTCTTCACTTCTGCCTCACTGAAGGGGAGGCAATAAACTGACACCCCTTAAATAGTGGCTCTGATCCTTACACTGGCTGGCAATTTGCTCATAAAGGTTGACAATTTCAAGAGTTAATGGTTACATTAGCCCTTGGTGGAAAATATTGGCAATGAACTGTAATATTCCCATGATGAAGTCAGAAAAAGCCCACCTACTTTTATCTCCATTTCATAAATGCCTGAATTTAGAGACCATGCTGTCATATCAGTGATAATGTCAAGGATGCAAACTTACCTGTCTTCCACATCCATTGCTATGCTTCCTACTTCAGTGTTCAATTTATGCATTTTGTTGGCAAAGTACAAATCCTAAATTATTTTGATCATAATCTCCACTTCTAACTAGTTTTTAATCACAGAATACCTGGTTCCTGTTATGAAAAAAGGATATTATAGCACAAACTTTGGAAGCCAGTAAATAAAGCTACACATTTTTTTCCTTAGAACCCTTCCATGGTTATGTTTTGTTCAAAAATTAATTTAAAAGTATTCTATTTGTTTATTTGTTTATGGAATCATCTTTTGGGTTGTGCAACAATCTTAAAAGAAACACTTTGTTCCTGCTGCCTGCTTGGCATTGGTCAGGCCACATCTGGCAGTCTGTGTCCAGCTCTGGGCTCCCAGTACAGGAAGAAAAACCATGCACAAACCTGAGCAGCCTCCCCTGCAGGCAGCCTGGGGCTGGAGTACAGAGTGTGAGACAGGGCTGAGGCAGCTCCCCCTCCTCAGCCCTGGCTGCTGGGCTCAACTCTCTGAGAAGGAGGTAAGGAAAGGACAGAGCCAGGCTCTTGCCAAGATGGATAACAGCGGGACATGAGGAAACTGTGACAAGGTGCAAAAAAAACCCCCAAAAACAAACAAAACAAAACAGGGAAAGTCCAGATAGATGCTTGGAGAGAAAACTTACAAGGAAAGAGATAAAGTGTGAAAACAAGCACTGATACTGTGGAATATCCAGCCTTGGAAATACTCAAAACTCAGCTGCATGAACCATTAGCTCCCTGGTCTCTGAAGCCAGGCTTCTGCTCTGATCAGGGTGTTGGAGGAGACAACTACACGGGTCCCTTCTGACCTAAATTATTGTGTGATTTTTGTGTGATTCTGATTTGTGTATATGACCTTTTTGCTTTAAGTGCTCTTTGAGATCACTATTTGGGAAAAAAAAGCAAGGAGAAACATAGGTCTTCCTTGTAGAAAGCAATCACTGTTAATGAAGTTAACACCCTTCATGTAAGGAGCTTGAAGGAGAACCCAAAGGTACATTCATACATATGCATCCACCAAACCTTACTGAAAGTATAAACAGGGAAAAAACCCCAGCAGTTTTTAAAAGCAAACCTAAAAGTCCTGTGATTTCAAGTCCAAGCAAAAATGTAAAAGAATTTGATCATAATTTTGATATCATAATTTTGCATTGTCAAAACCTTGGATGAGTTTTGAGACTAAGGTGGAGTCATGTCAGAAAGTAAGGGCTGAGACAAAGAGCTATCAGCTCTGAACGTGCATAAGGGATTGCTGGAGGCCTGAAATTATCTCCAAAATGTTATTTCTAAGTGTTTCAAAACTTTTTGGCCATATCCCTTTGTTAACCTGCTCTTCCCTTCCTCTCCCTCCTTTATCTATGGAAGCTGTTTCAGAGTTGTGCCAGTGTCAATGTCTGCCAAGCAGTGAATGCACAACTCCCCAGGGAATGAATCACCTGCAGTAAGCTTTGACTGGAATAGCAGTGAGTTCAGGAGTCCCAGAAATAGCCAAGGTCTTCCTAAGAAATGAGAGACAAAGGAAAATACAACCTAGAAAAAATATAGGCAAAATATAGGGTTGTGAAAAGTTCCACAGCATCTCAGACTGATGTTTTTGTTTTCTACAGATACTTCCTTTGACATTCCTCCAAAAGTTTTGAGCATTCACTACATAATAACTATTATTATGTATTTTTATTATTATTGAAGGCCTAGATGGCATTCAGACATTTAAAAATAGCCATCTCTTACACAATGTTTTGCAGTTTCTCTTTCTTCATGTTTTAAATTTTGTCCAGTGGAGTCTCAAACTCTCACAGAATGACCTGAAAGACCCTTGCACAAGGCCCTCACACAGATAGTTTTTTAACTGTTAACTTTCACATAAGTCACCTTGAAAGGAGTTAAAAAATACCTGAATATGCAAAAAACTTTGGCCTGAAAAAAAGACGGAACCAAATTTTAGCTAGCCTAATAGAGACCACTTCTCAGTTTTTTCCTAAATTTATCTAACAAGGATTTTAACAGCAAGTGAGCACTCAAAGACAACTTCCACAATTTTTTCATGGCCTCTGCTGATGAAGAGCGCAGCGATGGACTCAGCTCTGTTCTGCTCTTTAACAGCAACACACAATACACAGGATTTTTCAGAGAAGGCCATGTGTTCCAGGTACTGAGAAAATAGCACTATGCAGTTTGTGATGACCCTAAACCACTCGGACTTTCTCCTGTTCTTTCCCAATAGCTCTTTAAAGGATTTCTCCAGGTTTCTAGATGCCTTTTTCCATCCCAAGCACACTTACATGTCCTCCCACTCTGAAGCTATTTATTGTGCCAGGCTCTGTGTTTTTCTTCCTGAAATTCCTCCACCTTCTGAAGAGGCATTTTCCTATTAAAAAGAATCTTTCATGCCAGGAAAAGGTTAAAGATTTACCATGCATCATCTGGGCTGTGGTACCTTTATATATGCATGTTTTTAGTTTGTTTTAAACAGAGTAAAACCTCAACAGAGCTCATTGCCACTTCATATAACCCTACTCTAATCATAGGTTAAGCACAAGCATGCAATTACTGATAACTTATCATCTGCCAGTCATCAGAGAAAATATTCTTACCTGCACATTGATTTATAACTAATGATTTGGACCAGGTTATGCACTTGCCTTCCACTGGGGAGAAAGCCTGTACTCTGAAATCATTGCAGCTATTTATGTGAGCAACTGCCTGCCAGCTTGAACAAGGGGTTCCTCACAGAGACTCCTAATCCATCGTAATCCATCCTTCAATTTGGTAACAAACAGTGGTTTTGAAGATCTGACTTGTATTGAAATTCAATGTGTTTCCATCTGCTAGCCAAATTTGCACAGTTATACAAACACACTTGGTATCTACAGAGCATTCATTGCTTGCATGTTAGTGTCCTAGAGATGACTTGGGCACCTGTCATTTTCCCTTGATTTAGGAAAGATTTAGAGATTTAGCAAATACTTTAGTTTGTGGGCTTAAAATCCCTTACAAAACCCTAGGATTTGTGTGCCTTGTATTTAAACCAACATCCTTGAAGAACAGATACCTACATCAATAGAGGTGAAGGTACCTTTTGTTTAATGACTACAGAAAGAGATTTAGTCTATATTTTTCTTTTATGTCCAGGGAAACACATCTTCAACATAGCTAGGAAGAGGTACCTGAAGCTGTGATGGAATGCTTTTGAACTTTTCAACCTGCTGGTTCTCCACTCCCACATCTCCATCGACAAGAGCTGGAGGAGCGTGAGATAAATGCAAACACAGAATGAAACCTCAGAGCCCAGATTTCCTTCTGCCTGTGGAGAAGCAACAATTATGCCTCTGATTAAAAGAAAGTCTGCAGCAGCCAAGCACTGATCAAGTTTGAGCAGCCTAATGACTTTGCTAGCACATAATGTTTGATAACAATCTCCAGCAGACCACTGATGATACAGATCCCTCCTTTTGGAAGGGAGTGATAAAACCCCCTGTTCTTGCTGATTAACTTGTACATACCAGGCCATGATCCAACAGTTTCTCAGCCACCTGTGCAAGTGAAATGGGGCTCTGCTCTTGCAGTAATTTAGCTCCTAATATTTTCAGGCTGATAAAAAACAGACCACCTCAACTAATGGCAATTTTTACATAATCCTTTTTATTTTCAAACCAGCCTGCCCACCTTACATTGCATATAAGCCATGGCTGCATTTACAACTGCATCTCCTCCAGAGTTAAGATCTAATGACACACAAGCAAAACCGTGCCTTTATATTCCTACAGATGCAACTTAGATCTATATTTTAATTAGGAAACAACTGTGTCTTTATCTAGAGAACAAGTAAGTTCTAATAGATCTTAAGTTCATGTAAACTCTGGGTAATTTAAATTGAGTTTGTCTATGAAAAATGTTTACATTTATTGTATGATAGAAGTGGTTGGGATTCACACCTGCTCAAGCAGCTACCAACACATGGACAAGAGTTCTCACCTTTCCAAATATCAGTAACAATTCCTGTTTACCTTTGCATGGTTGTCTGAGCAAAAAGCCATGAAAAAGTAATCCCATAGTGACTGAACTGACTCATTCAATCCCTGCACTGTTCAAACATACACAGAATATGTATACAGCAGTCCACTTGCTGGTTTTTCTTCCTAAGTTTCAAGTTTATGTTCTGGAAATGTCTTCACTTTTCATCATATGAAAAAATCTGGAAAAAATCGTAAGTATGGAGATGAAGTGTTAGTTTCATCCTTCATTTCTATATCCTTTAATATAGCAATAAAATGAAAGCTGTTCCATGCTGACAACCTAAAGGCTATGGGGCACTAAAGTCAATTAAATGGCAATCAAGCCTTCAAGTCACAAAGCAGATTATGTCAAAGGCCCTGAGCTTCTTCTAAGGAGAAAACATTCAGTAACCCTCTATTTACACAATTGAAACATCATAAGCATTTTCTCTGAGGAATTTACACCAACAAAACCTTAGCAATTCACTAAATATTCAAACAAAAAAAAAAGTGATTTCAAAAATCAGACAAAACCTAAATATTTATTAATTACACTGTTGAACCTCAAGTGCCAACAGCACATTTTACCTCCCTAAAGCAAATTCTGAAGTTAGCTAATCAATACTCAAGCAAACTACTGATTTGTTCCATAAATATGAATGCATTCACATGCTTTGCAGTGTAAGGAAAAAATGACATTCCCAGAAAATGACTAAGTTCGAATACTACATCTCCTGGCAAAAAAAAAGTTTGAAATTCTGCCAGCTGTATGCAGAAGATAACCTAGCATGACTTTGCTTTCTAGAGGTAGTAACAGACTGATTTCTTTCCCTGCAACAGATTTAGCCAAACACAGTTTTTATGCCAGTTTTTCTACTGAAGTAACTGGGGAGGAAAAAAAGCCAAGAACAAAAAAAAAGTCAAAAACATACTAATTTGGTGGAAAAGAGAGGAAGTTTGCAAGAAATATGATTAAAGAGAAAGTGAAAATTTCAGATGCAGATAAAATTATGACTGTATTACCTCAGGGCCTTTTTTTCAATAAGAGATAAGCATTAAAAGTTTCATTCTGGACCTGAGTTTGCTGCCTAACAGCTTAAACATTTACATTTGGCCAAAATTTCCAGCTCACTTTCCACCCAGCCTGGAAATCTGCCCAATTTACATTTGGCCAAAATAAATGCAAAATGCCACCATTTTAATTGGATGTTATTTGAAAACCTCGCAGATGGAAGTAATTCCACAAAACATAAAGCAATTTGGAAACAAAAGCTGCTGGTTTACATCCCCCAGTGAGCATTCAGGCAGACTCACCCAAACAATGATGTTCAGTTTAACCAAACTACCTGATGGGCAAAGATGCTTGTTCCACCTGAGAAAACCCGCCTCCACAAAGTATTTAAATCAGTTTTTAAAAGGGAAAAAACCCACAAAGCAGGACTTCCTTTGTCAGAAAGAATGCCCCTCTTCTGGGAAGGTAACCCAGGAAGGAGGGCCAGAGGAAGGAATTAACTTTTGGATCCTGCAACAAAGTGGAGAGCTTTGAAATACCTTCAGGTTTGGTCACCCACAGCAGAAGGAAACCATTGTTTGCTGTCAGTATCTGAGTGTAGGCACAGAGTGGAGGTTTTTGTAGCAGCTGGTGAATGCAGCACCTCCTGAGTGCCTGTGGAGACCCTGCTAAGTTCCCTGCAAAGTAAAGCCCTGAGATTCTTGTCTGCACGTCTGCACTTTGTACTTTACCTGGCAAATTTCCAGCTCACTTTCCACCCAGCCTGGAAATCTGCCCAGAGTGTAGGATGCTAGCAAGCATCATTTGGTTTGTGCTGTTTGGCTTTGTTGTCAACAGTTGGGTTTAAACTCTGCTGTACATCTGGCATGATTTTACAGGCTTATGCTGCTACTCACATTTTCTCAGTATCCCCCATGTTAAAGGTGGGAAGGGAAAGAGAGTATTCTCCTACACTGCCCATGTTTGAGAATTTTTTGTTCTTCTCAAAATGGACATCCTGACAGAAATAACTGTTTTTCTTTTTTCATTGTGGTATTTCTCCTCCCAGGACAGCAGAGCGTCAGGAGTCAATAACCAAGAGAAGCCTCCATAGACAGGATCTATTCTCTGGCCCTTTTGTGGCTCCTCCTGTCCTTCACATGTATGTGTTCCCCTTTTTCACATATCCCAAACCCTTCTCATTCTTCATGTATAAAGTGTACCTGGAGGAAGGTACAGGAGAGCTGCCCACTTGCAGGCAACTTGCTGGTCCCAGACCCACACTACAGCCTCCATCCAATCACTGCAGACACCTGCCAGGAGCAAGCAGGGCCTATCATGGTCTGGTACCAAGACATGTGGGCAAAAAAGGTAAAATGACCAACAAATGCTAACTGAGAGCAGTAGCTGCTTTGGTTTGCGATTTTTTTCTCATCAACTTCACAAGACTCATGTTTGCATTGACTGGATCTTCAAGTAAACATCATTTACCTATGACTTGGTACCTGAGAGAGGTAGAAAAGACATGAGGAGCCCACCAAACTCTTGCAGCCCTCCAAGCTGTCTCACTTCTAGGAGAGAAGGAGGTGATGATTCTCCTGGCAATCTCAATCTTTTCACACCCATCTTGGGCATTTTGCCTCAGCCATGCTCAAAAACTCTTCTGCCAGTGGCAGAAGTTTTGAGAAAGCTCCAACAAAATTGTTTTCACCCCAGGACATGCAAAGTATACCTCTGTTGCCCTCCTTCTGACCCCCTGAATCAAGGAGAGGTTGTTGTCCTGCTGGTCCAGTCTAACAGATACTCAAGGGCAACCAAATTCTGCATCCTGGCTGGATGTCCTTACACATCTCCTCATGACTGCCCAAATTTCTGTTACAGACAGTTTCCCTCCACTCCTTCTTTCTGACATTTTATCAACAATTCTCCCAGCCTTTAGTGGCTTATAACATCACTTCTGGAAAAAAACAAAAATTGCTTTGTTCAACTGGAGCAATATTTCTGTAAACTATTTATAAATCTGTCTTTGCATTTAAGTGGCTGTAAATAGCCAGTGCCACAAACACAGCTGTGCCACATCTCAGGCTGAAAACAAGGGCTTTTCTCTAACCTCCAGGCAATGCTTTCAGTTTTCTAAGTGCCTTTATTCATGGTAGACATAAAACCAACTCACAGCCCCCAAATACTTTTGCCTTGTTGGTATGCTAAACCACTCCTGATTTGCTGCACATCTCAAATTTCAGTGCAATATGTAAGGATGAGTCAGTAAAATTCATTAACACAAATAAATTAATTAGCCCAAGTAAATGCCTTCTTTTCATTTGAATAAAAGTGGAGAACAAAGAGAAGTCTATCAAAAGTTATTTAGGAAAGGCAAAGTGCATTCAATTAGTCTTTACAGAAATCAGGTGTAACACAAGTCACGCAGCTTTGAAGATTCTTATTTTTTGTGAAAAAACAAAAATTATCATGAGGAAACCCCTGTGACTGCTCAGCAAAGCAGTAACTCACCTCTCCCATATGAACATTTGTTTGGGCTGTTACTGATGAAACAGACCAACTTCAGCTCTGAAGTTTTTCACCAAGACTGAACATCGTCCAGGCCAACACGATTTTAATTGTCACAGACCCAGATGGCAGAAGGACATGAAAAAAGTCACAGGCAGCAAAAAGACACTTCCCCAACTGAAGGTGAGCCTCATAATAAAGCCATATGTCAAGAAACACATGAAGCACACCAATAGGGAATCAAGTGAAGCATGATGATTTAGTCTTTTTTTTTTTTTTTTAAACCCGACAAAAGGCACAAGGTGCCCCTGCCAGATGCCTTAGGGGGAAATCAGCTGAGAGAAGGCATCCTGCCAGCAGTCTGAAGTATCATGGCTATCGCTGAGCTTCCCATGGCCAGCATTAGGTGACAGCTCCTCCTTTCCCACCACAGATGTACAGATTGCTTATTTATCCCTGCAGTATTTATTGGGAGCTTCCTACCTTGCAGCTCAGGTCTGTCTTCCAAATGCACATTACACTGTGACCTCACAGCTGTGCTGAATTCTGTAATGCTATTCTCTGTCAGCACAGGGATTTAACAGAAAATCTAATGTGGATAAGCAGAGATATGCAATGTCTGACAGATGAAAATGGTGCTAAGAGCAGCAATACCTACATAGGGCTGGTGATGCAGAAGAGGAGAAATTTCTTTTCCATGGAATGTCCACAGGGACCATCAAGAAAAAGCTACCGCATTTTGAGAATTACCAAACTCTACAGCAGGCCCACCCAAAAAGCAAGTCTTTCTCTTGATCCAACAATACTGGGGTTCTTTTATCAATATATAAGGTTAAATAGTTGGTAGCAGCAGATAAGGCATGAGAAAGACTTACTGTGATATTCCACAGTCCTGCAGCAGGTTCTGCCCACATATCTAGCAAACCCTGGAAGTTTGGAGGTAATTCCCCAAGTGAAGATACCTGCCCCTTTTTCACAGCCCCACATGCACAGTTTATTCTTTAATATTTTTGAAAATACCACAGCCTCCATTAGAAGTCTTAGCCAAGAAGCCTTGATTCAGCTATCCTCCTTCCTGCATTTGGTATCTGAGAGAGCCATTTTGAGACACAAGGAAAAGTACATTTGTATTTATTTGAGAGAAAACTGATAGACCAGATCTTTATTAATCAAAGTCAATGAAACTGCACGGTTGAGAATGTGATCCAGTGTTTACAAACATACATTTTGCAGCCAGATTGTTTTGGTGCAGTTTCTCCTCCAGAAAGGGTATTGCCATGCATCTTCATTTATTCTCCTAACGAACTTAACGAGGTATTTAGTGGCACAATTTATAGAAAGAAAAATTAATGGCATTGCATTCTCAGCCTATGTGAAAAGGAACTGTCGTACTTCAGCAAAACAAATAGAATTCATCCGCCCACACGTAGTAGAGTCCCAAACTAATTAAATAGGCTGCTTATCTCAGATATAAAATTCAGGCTTCATCTTTCAAAATGAGAGGTTTGAGGAGGGAAGAATATTATGGTCTATCAGCTACACAGATATATATAAGTGTCTGAATTAATCTTTGGATGTCTCCCAGAGAAACTGAGAAGGTTCTCATGTCTGTAGAATACAGAGAGTAACCAGAAATGGTTGTAATTTGTACTTCTTTAACAGGACCTTGTTCAAGTTCTCTGTAAGAGATAAGACTTTTCTAAGGTCACGCAGCTCTAATTCACATTATC